TGCTCTCTAGTGTAGGAGGTGAGGGTGGAGTGCAGGTAATTATGCACAAACACATAATCTGTCTGCCAAAAGCTTATGACAGGATACTGAAGGGATGTATGACAAAGATGCTTATTCCACACCTAGGAAATCAAGGAATGCTTCCTAGAAGTGATACTAAACCGGAGATCTAAATGGTGAGTGGCAGAGAGCTAGGTAGAGCGGAAGAGGTGGGCTACAGGTAATGGTACGAAAGGAGAATCTTCAAGGCGGGGATAAACAGTATATTCACTGGTCTAGTGGTGAGAGAAAGCACAGCACGGTGAGGAGTCTCAGGCATCCAGAACCGCTGGTGTAAGAGCTGAGAGTGGCTGGGTCATGGAGAAAGTTGAAGATCATGGTCAGGACTTCATCCAAGAAGCCACTGGAGCACTTTGAGCATGAGTGTAACAGATCTAGATTTGTATTTCTAAGTCTCACTCTGGCAAAATAGAGCAGACTGGTGGTAATCTAGGTAGTGGCCTGGGACTTTGGTTAGGAGACTGTTGCTGGAGATGGTATAACAAGATGGGGTAGAGGGGATGAAGAATGGTGGATGAATTTACATTGGGGTAGAATATGAGATTTAAGGAGAGAGGGGTTTAAAGATCACTTTGAATGCAGGGATTGGTGAGGGGAATCATACGTAGAAACAATAGCTGTTGAGAAGAAGAACTGAATGGCTGTGGAAGGTGCAGTTGCGGTTGGGTATCTGATTTGGGCGTTCTCTGAGAACAGCAAGCTTATTGATTCCTTCTTTCTTGTTACTCTTCCATGTTGGATAGTTCTGAAGAATTGAAGAACTCCGATTCCTGTAACTTTACTCTCTTGGTCCAACTTTGTCTCTGAGGGATCACTTGGAATCCACCTACCTCTGCTGGTTCACAAAGGCCCTTTGCCAGTCTTAGACATGGGTCACAGTCTTTGAAGCTTCCATCTCCATCTTACTCACCCCCCAGTCCCTATAGCTACTTCCCACTGGGCGTGGCTTCCTGAACCCTCCTCTTTCCCACTTTTAATCATGTAGTGCCCGCTCTGAATAGCCAAAGACAGAAAGTCAGCCCTAGCATTTAAACACACACAGTTTCTCTTGTTCAGAAATCTACATCCCTTCCATGAACATTTAGGCCAACATCATACACAGTGAGCTCTGTGGTCACTCTCAGTATGGAGACAACAGGCCTGGGCCCAGAGTCTCAACTGGGGAAGCAGGTTTGACAAAGCTCTTACTGACTCATCCTCCAACAGCAGGCAAGTTGGTCTGGAAACCTGTGATCTGGTCTCCCAGGAAGTGCATTTCTTTCTTTTCTTCTCCAGTGAGAATCAGGGTATCAGTGCTATTCATGGACCACTGCTGGCTGTGTGAGTTTGGGTGGGAGGGGCAGAGCACAAAGGTGGAACCCTGGCTGTCTTCAAAACCTAGACAGCCTCACTGGGATAGAGGATACACAAGGGGTGATCAGAGAAGCCCTTCTTAGAGAGGTTGGGGTCACAGCTGGATGTTGAAGGACAGGGCCAATGTTAGCTGATAAGAAAGATAAGGGCAGAACACTAGGATAGAAAAGAGAAGGTGCACAACTCACAACATCTATGAGACCCAGGAAAGGAAAAAAAGACACTGGTTTTAGTAGAGACTTCACAAATGCGGAGCTTGAAAGAAAATGCAGCAGTGGTAGCTTGGAATCATACTGGGACACCAGTATGAGAGAAGAGACTCTCTGGGCTGTGAGAGCCACCAAGGGCTCAGACTTGAGTTGAAGATGAGTGAAGTGGTGATGGTTTGGTATCTGGGAATTCTGCCTTCTGTTGACCCCAGGAGAACAGAGCTCTCTAATGTCAGGGAGGATAAAACCCTTGTACAGAATCCACTGAGGAGATAGACGAAGAGAAGAGAGAATAGTTCTAGTGAATGGCCTGGGAAGGGCTCTGATAAAAAGTTGGAATCTGGAAGCACCTCTGCTTGTCTACTTTTCAGCACTTCTTGTTCAAAAATTATTTAGAATTTCAAGAAGACAACATTAAGTGAAGCACAGGGCCCTTATTCGCAAGGCGCCCCATGCAATATCACAAGTCGCCTGTCCGTGATTGTGGACCTGTGTGTGGGCACAGATGAGAGATGATTGCTCTCTGAACTCACACAGTGGGTTCCTAGGGGGCTTTCACACTCAGTGGGCTCATAATTATTTCCCTTTCTGCCCTGGGCAGGTGGAAGCTTACACAGTCAGTTTATGGCTGTTGAAAAGAACAATAGAAACAGGGTTAGGAAATCTGAATTCCAATCCGGGTCTGGCTCCAACATTTGTGTGATTCTTTCAAATTTTAGGTTTTAGTTTTCTGGCTCATAGTAAGTGTTCAGTAAGTTGTTTATCTGCTTCTGTAAAAGAGGGCCAGTTCTAGGATTCCTAGTGCATGGCCTCTTGTGGGCATATCTGAAAGAGGATACGGTTTCCAGTGGTGGCTCTTTGGTCACATAATGAATGCAGTGCAATGCATTTGTAACTCAGAGAAAATTCCAGATAGTATTTTTCCATTACAGTGCCTTTCTATTTCTTTAGAAAAGTCATTGTAGGCAATTTTCTGAAGAATATATGCGAAGAATCTTCAGGTCAGGTCTTAGCCATTCCACCAACTCTCTGCAGGCAACTAAATTCTCTCTACCAATTCTTCTTCTACAAAATGTGGGAATTGGACTGAAGATCTCTAAGGTTTTTTGTCAGATCTCAGAGCTGCATTTCCCTGATTCTAGGAAGAAACTTGTGTATCACTTAGCATCACATGGCATTGGGGTGAATTTAATCGCTTCTACTGATCACTGTGAGTTCACCAAAGTCAAGAACCCTGTGTGACCCATCTCGGAGTCTCCAATTCCTGGCACAGCAATGAAGAGCTGAATGGCCAGAGCTGTCAAGAGAGGGACAAGGGGAGGCACTTGGAACAAATGTGAAAACAGAGATATAATTAGAAGCATCAAGGGAGATTGAGTGCTAGGTTAATTTCAAATAATACAAAGGAATCATGGAAATTTAAGACTAAAAGGAAGTCATCAGCTTTCATCATTAATTCAGAGTGATTTCTGAGGGAAGTGATGATGCCAAAGATGAAGAAATTGAGATGGAAAGATGAAGATGTGTGGACATCAGACATAAATGACTCTTTAAGATATGTGTTGGAAGAAGAGAAAGATAAGATGGTTCGTAGGAAGGTGGCAAAATCAAAGGAAGAATGATTGCCTGTTTATTAGTCTGTTTACTTTAAAGAGACTCAAAATGTTTTTTTTTAAAGAAACCTTTCCTTTCATGATCACATATTGCAAACCTGCCTTCAAGTTTTAATAGTCTATCCTTAGTTTCTTTCAAGCAATTTTGCCATCTTTCAATGGAGTTTTTAATTTCCTGCTAACATTTTTGAATCTGCTTCATGTATTCTAGGTTTTCTTCATAATCTTCATCATTTGTTTCTCTTCTTTTTTTTGTGTTCCTCTATTCTTCCGTCTGTGTCTTCTTGAGAGGTGTTTAGCATTTCTTTTAGTAATCTACTTATATCTTGCTTTACTTGATTAAATATTTCACTTTTGAGCTCATCTACGAGGTCCTGAAGATATCTCTTTATGTCCACCAATGCTGTGTCTGATATGGAATGTTTGCTGCCCTCAATTTCTTTTGTATTTACCTCTCCTGGATCAACATTCTCAACGTTGGGGCTGGGAACTTTTTCTTACTTTCTTTCTCTTGTCATGTCTTTGGTTTCTTCCATACAGGTGTATAGAGGAGGTTCCAGCCCCTTTCTCTGTTGCTTATGGTTCTTCTGAAGAGTGCTGGCTAGGATATTCTGCCCTGTCCAGTTTGCTGTTGGTCATTGAGGTGCAAACAGGGATGGCCTATGCTGGCCACTCCCCTCCAGGTTAGTCAGGCTGTGGGGGCCTTCACTGAGTTACTGTATGCCGTGCATATGGAATTGGTTTGGGACGACTTATTGGGTCCCGGCCAGGGGTATGACCCAGGCCATACAGATCCCACCAATCTGTTCTGGGAATGGAACAATCAGCTGAAGTCACTGCTGTTCCTTACTCTTGCCCGTCCTGCCTGATTCCAATATGTCATCCTGTTGGTTGCCCCTTTACCATGGGAGTGTCTTATTCCCAGCCCTCAACACAGGTCAGTGCAGGTCCCTTGCCAGCTCTGTTCTCCACGGAGCTCACTGACCTCCGGTTCCAGTGAGTTAAAGCTGCCGGAGTTCGGGCAGCTCCCTGCAGTCCTGGTGGCGCGAGTTTGGGTGGCTCTGGTGAGAGCACCATAGCTGCTAATCTTAGTTGCTCCAATGGTAGCCCCAGGACTGTGTGTTTGACCAGCTCTTCTCCCTTTAGATTCTTCCTGGGTCGAGAGGATCCATCTCCCTCTGTCCAGACCTCTCCACGGTATTTTATTCCAGCATCTGAGTTGTCTCTCTCAGGGAGCCTCTATATTCTGCTGCTTACCCATCTGCCATCTTTAGCTCCTCCTCAAAATGTTTGTTAACTAAGTAAATGGGTAAAGATTTTAGGCAGGGAGTAAGGAAGCAAATAATGGATCGCTGTCCTGGAGGAGTCTAGAGAGACAGGCAACCAAGAGTAGAGTTCTCTTTTCCTTCCAAGCTCTGCTGTCTACAAATGTGACAGGCTTATCTCTGGGCCCTAAGGACCAAGTGCAAACATTACTGAGGAGCTGGATGAGATGCTTTTTACAGTTCTCTCCCACTAACTCTGTGCCCATGAATCTTTATTGTGCCATGTGGGTCACTGGCAGATGTCACAGACAGTGTAAAGAATATCTATAAAATGCAATCTAGTACCTTCTGTGTGCCTTAAACTATCAACATTAGTGTCCGATCAAAGAGCAAATAAGCCCATTCCAAAATCCGTCTGTTTTGGAATGTGGTCCAAGTAGTCACAGATGCATAGTAGGAAAAGCAACAGCTAGCTCAGTGAGGAGTTCAGAACTTGTCTCTTCTCATAATTCCTTATGTGGCCTTGGGCACATTTCTTCTTCTCTGTGAACTGCATTTCACTTTGGAAAAACAGGAGTTCCAAATGAGGGATTGAGTTAGTTTGCTCCGATTCTTGAGTGCTACAGTCATGCTGAAAGGTAGTACACTCATCTGTGATTTTGAGGCAGGACTATGATTAATGTGGCCACTGAGTTACATGGGGAAAAACTGGTCTCATAGGAGTGGAGCCCCTAAGCCCTCCTTGGAAATTCACACTCAGGGCACTGGTGAGTCTACAGTACTGGCATCAGGTCTGACAGGAAAACCCACATGCTTGTCAACTATATTCCAGACTCTCCCGCTTGGCTTATGACATTAGACTGGCCAAATCATGTTTGGCAAAGGCAGGTTCATGTCTGGCCATATGTTGATGACAGTAACGAAACTTGGTATTGCCTTTGGGGACTAAATTCCTGAGTGAGTTCCAAGTCCTGAGTTCACAACTTGGTTTGCCCTTTGTCAACCACTCGGGATTAATAGGAGGTGGGTATCTTAGTCATTGAATGTATTGTGAAAAATTATATAGGCAACATATTCAATAAACAAATTTTATATACATCCAATGTAGTGTATTGGATAGATGAGTGGATACACGGATGAGTTACTGAATGGATGAATAGATGAATGTTTGTTGCAAATTAAGAGAGAACTTGACAGTGATCTAGGAGACCTAAGGGTTTGTTCCACAACACCATTCATCAGCTAAGATCTGATTTAATGAAAAGTGACAGAGACTTAAATCATAGTGCCTTGGGAGGAACTAAGACAAAATATATTGGACAATTCAGCACAAAAAATGATCAAGAATTTTGAGAATTCCCTTCCTTATTCTAGTTTCTCTCTTGTCCACTTCATCCTTAGGCAGTCTTTCCCCATCCAGTGGTGCACTTTGCCACCAGCACCGCGAGGCTTACACTTTTATAGCTTTGCAAGACCAAAGGAACAAGTGTCTTCCCTTGGGTGGCTTAGAGAAAGTCCTCAAAAGAGCCTCTTTGTGGTTTAGGCCATGTGCTTGTCACTGAACAAATCCTGTGGCCAGGAGGTGGCAGAGCACTGAATGGTGGTGCCCATGAAGAGTCCACTCACAAAATACAAAGGTGATGTCCTCCACAATGGAGCCCATGAAGTGAGAGTGAGTGTAGTGTGGTATTTCCAGAAGACAAACCGATGGATGCTGGCAAAAACCTCCAAGGTCCTTTCCCTCAGTGTTATGACTGGGATCTGAAATCACCCCTAAAGCCTCCTTCTGTTGAAAACTTGGTTGCTTTTGGGGTTTTGGGAACTGAGTCATCTAACTTCATCAAGTGGATTAATCCATAGCTCAATGGGCTTATTAGGAGGTAAGAGTCCCAGAGGGCAAGCTTAGAAAGGACATATCTTGTCCCCAAATCCTTTCTTTTGGACTCCTTCCCTCACATGTTGCTTCCTGGCTGCCTTGAAGGTGAGCAGGTTTCCTCTGCCCATGCCCTCCCACCATGAAATTTCTGCCTTGGACCAGACAAACATGGACTGGAGCCAGGTAAACATGCACTGAGAGCTTGAGCCAAAATAATCCTCTTTTCCTCACACTGTGTGTGTTATAGATTTTGTCCCAGTAATGGAAAAGTGACTGATATACTGGGCGAATGCAGGGCATCCCTCTGTCCTGCAGAAGCTTTCAGCTCCCTCCCTCCGGCTCCTCACTGCACAGCCTTCTTGAGGTGTGAACGCCCTTTAAAATGGCCTGGGCTGGGGGAGGCTCTGGTTTCCACTTGTGCTTCATTCATCACCCACAGCACCTCCTCTTTCCTCTGGAAGCCTTCCCTGACATTTGGCCTCCACATACCTTCCTTTTCTGACCTGTGTCATTTTTCATGGTGTGTAACGAATTATTGTTTTTTAGGCAGAAAAAGTGTCCAGACTGTTTCAGGCCCAACAGGAAAAACTGCAGTGCGTAAGAGTCTGGCTCTCCATGGGAACTTCCAATTTAGGGACCTTGCATTGTGCTCTAATTGCTTTCTGAGTGAGTCTAAACCCCAGCCACAGTGGCCACCTGGGCTTAGCCACTTGTTAAGAGCAGTCAATCAGGGCTCTCTTGGATGCTTACCAGTGAGCCCAAATCTGCCGTGAGTAGGCTCTGAAACCTTTGTGTCATTCATTTCCTTCTTGTCATTTTCCATAGGTCTGCCTGCTGGAGACTAGCTCCGGTGAAGAGAAGCAAATGGAATTGAACTGAAGCATCTCCAAGGCACTATGGAAGCCAGTTTGCTTTCTTTTTTTAAAGGAGAAACATTTTCTGCTCCCCGGAATATCTCACAAGCTTCCTCTGAAGGTGGGCACTTCGCTGTGTAATTCTGCTCTTCTTCTTTTGAACTCAGAGGTGAAATCACTCCCAGGATCTCAGTCTCTTTCTCTACCCACCTCTTTTTTGTGACACTAAAACCAATCTCTGCCTTTCGTATCCACCCAGAGAGGGGTGGGGCTCAACTAATGAATGTTTGAGGAGTCCTTTGAGATCTTGGATGAAAGGCACCTTATAAAATACAGTAAAAGATAATAGGGGTAATTACTAGCCCAGCTAGTCCCTGTCGGATAATTAGAGAGTTTTCCTCTGGTAGTTTCTGAATTCATGAAGAAATGCATGGGTTCAAAAAACAAAACTGACTTGCGATTTAGGGACATGTTATGCTTCCACCATTCCAGGACTGTGTTTTCCCAGAAGTCTGTGAGTTGGATAGGACCTTTGAGTTGATATCCATCCTCCTTGGATGGCAGGTTAAGCCAGTGAGGCCCAGAGAGGCAATGTGACTGGCTTAAACCTACACAGTAAGTGTGGCAAAACCACAGCTAAGGAGTCCCTAAGACCCCAACTCAGGAGTTCCTGTCACATCCTTTGTAATGCATCCTAGGCAATCTCAGCATAACATGACCTTCTCCTGCGCAGTAGGGTGCTGGGAGGAGAGTCACAGAGGATGGACACAAACCCCAGCTCTGATATACAAAAGACAGCCATCACCCAGTAATGTTCAGTTACCTTGCGTGAAACATGGGAATGATAGTAGCAATCCCACCAGCCTGTTGTGAGGAACTGATGAGTGACATTTGCAGAAGTGCTGGTACCAAGCACATGTCCAGTCCGTGCTGTATGAATAGTCTTGGCAGCTCAAAGACTTGACCTATAGTTTGGCTCGATGTAGTTGTGATCAGTTTATATTTACTGAACACCTGCTACGTTCTGACTATTGTGCCGAGCTCTCCAGTGCTTTGTTCCACTGCACCATCATCATCAGCTATGTGAAATGGAGGTTCAGGCTGGGTAGTGAACTTGCCCAAGGCTCAGGAGGTGGCAGACCTTGGAACTGGGCTGTCAGCCACCATGTCACACTGCCCCCCTCCCTGGAAGAGGGGTGCACATTATTGTGCCTGTGTGGGTTTTCTGTCAGGGTTTTCTGCTGTGACACAGAAGATGGGGATGAAGAGGAAAGGAATGCTTATAGCCTAGGGTGAGCCACTGAAGCATTTCTGCCTTCACTTGGTTATGAGAGGTAAATTTCTTCTCACATGAGATTTAATGATTCTGAAGCTCAGCACTGATGGAAGAAATCAAGCGACATCTCCAGCAAGGACAGTCAGTACCTGGAGCTGAACTTGGAATCAAGAATCTGGATCAGTCCCCAAACTGATTCCTAGGAACCATGTGTTTTGCTCCAGTGCCTTGATCCTTGGTCTTGGAGTCTCATGTCCTCAGGTGGGTTAGTGGATGATGAACATCACTGATTCATAATGTTCGTGACCTCACTTGTATCTCTTTGTCAACTGCTGCTCTGTACTTATGTAAATCCTGATTTGCCACTCAGAGCCGAGAAGGTTGCAGCTGAAAAACAAGGTAGCAGGAAGTGTCAGGCTGGTGACTTTAGGGAAAGTGGCTCAGAACACTTGGCCAGTCAAGGACATTATTTCTTTCCAAAGGATAAGTCAGAGGATGCACAGCTGTGAGCTCAGATTGCTTGACTAGAAGAGGGAGTTTCAGGAGACCAGCCCTTCAAAATTCAAGTGACAATTCAAAGGAATTTAGGTGCGCTTTGTTTGGGTTTTCATTTTTTTCCCTCCAGCTGAGACCACAGAATGCACCCTGCTGTCCCAATCCTGCAACTCTCTGTGCTGGAAGAGACCAGTCACTATGAAAGGCCACTGGGTGAGGCTGGCCAAGTGGCCAAAAAGGAGACCCAAGTGTGTCCCACTCACTTCCTGCCAATTTCCTCATCAACCAGGATTTCTTCAAATATCCCCCAGAAACTAGGGGTTTGTGCTTCTGAACTACCCTGCTCAGAGGGATGGCAGAGTCATCCTTCAAGAGATGTCCAGGGCTGGCCATGGGAGTGACAGTGTCTAAGATTATCAGAGGCAAAAATGACTCAGAGGCCATTCTGATAGTCACCTCAGGCACACATTTCTTCTGCTCTGGGGATTGTTCATCGAATACCTCCAATGACGGGGAACTCACTCCCTAACATCATCAAACACCTGTTAGAAGTTGCCCCATATTTCCTGTCACTGTAAATCTCCATGTAATCCTCATCCCCTGCTGGAAGGCCTGACTTCTGGAGCCACTGAGTTATTTATGTAGGACCCTCTGCAGTATCACTGGTATTGCATCAACCCCAAGGCAAACATTTTCAAGACTAAATGTCCCAGGTCAGGGAGAAAGCTCAGCAGCATGGTGCTTGCCTGGCAAGCACAAGGTTGTGAATTCAATTCCCAGTACAAAAACAAAAACAAACAAACAAACTAACAACCCTCCTCCCCCTCCCAAAATTCCAAAAGACCAAATCTCCTGCATTAGAGGGATGGAGTGGTACAGCTCTAAATGCACAGCTTTTGATATCAGAAAGACTAGAATTTAAATTCTAGCTCAAAATCCATTTACTGTTCTGGAAATTACTTAGCCTCTCTGGACTTTAGTATATTGTACTAGTCTTTAAAGCAAATAATAATCAGTAGCACCTCTCTGTATTGTGATGATATAACATATAGACAATGGCTGTCCATACAAGGCTTTCCAAAAAGCCCAGTAGTCTTTATATGACAAGATTCATTCATTTTTTTTGACTCAATCATTTTTAAAATACTTATTGTGGTCTTACTTTCTGCTAAGTACTTTGCCAGATGCTATTTATGGTAAAACCAAATAAAAGAGTGGAAAGAAAGTGGGCTTTGGCATCATAAAGACCATTCATCAATCACTCCACCATTCCAACGCCATGACAGAGAGAACCTCCCTGATCCCCACTTACCTCATCTCTGTCCAGAGCTCAGGGCCTGGCTTAGTGTGAGGAGTCAACAGGTGGCTGCCATATTGAAGGGTTTGGGAGGGCCAAGTCCATAAATGAATTTCAAATGAGGCTAAGGCTAAGCAAGACAATGGAAATTTTACTATGGGGATTTAAATTAATCTTAATTTAATTTTATGTGACTGCTTCTTTTGTCCACTTACTTCCCAAGAAATTAGAGCTTGTAGATAGAAGAACAAAGTCCTATCTGTTTAGCTCTGCTGTATTGTGGACACCATGGGAATCTTCCCCATTAAGGATAGAAATTGCACCAATGAAATAGCCAAACACCTGGGTGGCCGAGTAGTCTGACCGTGCTTCTGACGGCAAAGAAGTTTCTGTAGTTCCACTAAGACGTGTCTGGCTGGAAGCCGATGGTTTTCAGAGAGAAGGCTCTCAGGCTGCAACTGGAAGTTGGTGAGACGGTCTAGCCTTCCACTGCAGTACAAAGAGTCAGGGCTGGGATTAGGGTGGCTCATCTGATGCTCACGGGATGAAACTAAGGCAGAAGAACAGTCACACAGATTGGGATATCACAAAGGAAGAGGTCCATTAAAAGAAGGCAGCTAGCTCAGAAGAGCCAAGGGCACCCAGGCTTCCTGGCTATGCAGGCACCAGGCTGGGGCAGTGCTGGGATCTTTGTACCCCCTTCCAAATGATTATGCCTGGCTCAGGAGCTACTCTGCACCAGATCCCCAGTACAGGGTCTCTGAGGAACTGGAAAGGTAGCTGCTCACAAAAATGTCTCAGTTAACCCTGCTCTTTTTTTGCATTTGAGCCACTGGACCCAGAGGGGAGCAGGTGGGTAGCAGGGAGAGTGATAGTTTCATTTTACTCTCTGCTAAGTTGCTCATGCAAAGTGCCTGTCCTGCTTCTGCTTCAGACCACATAAAAAAGGAAAACTGTGGTTGTCACCCTGGGCGAAAGGGTGTGAGAATCCACTTTATGATTCAGAGGACGTGGGCAGAGGCTGAGATCCTGGTGACGCCGAGCTGTCCTAAAACCCAAAAGTAGAAGTAAATCAATGAACAAAATAAAAGATAGACACAGGAATTAGGGAGATAGACCTTTGGCAGACCTTTGGCAAATGGGCAGGAGACCAGAGATGGAGGTGTTGGAGGGAGGAAGAGGATGTTAACACAATTAGGATGTGTCATACTTGGGTACCCATGACCCGCAATGCACGTATTCATTACGAACTGTAAAAACGTGCTACTTAAATAAGAAAGAAAAGAAATGCGTCTCCGAGCCAGGGGATGCAGTTCCCCTGAAGAAGGGCTGATGATGAAAACCATGATACACACAAGAGTCAGGCGTTCTCAGGAGACAAGCAGCAAACTGCAAAACCAGCTGAGACTTCAGGAACTGGGACACACAAAAGCGATAGTTTAAAGAAACAGAGGAGCCAGGCTTAGTGGCACAAGCCTGTAATCCAAGCACTCAAGAGGCTGAGGCAGGAGGATCATTTCAAGTTCGGGACCAGTCTGGACCACAAAGTAAACTCAAGGTCAGCCTGAACGGCATAGCAAGACCCTGTCTCAAAAAGGAAACAAAACAAAAACAAACAAGCAAGGAAACAGAGGAATAAAAACAATGAGCAAAGAGTAAGAGACTAAAAATCACCGTGAAGATTTGAAAAATCACACAGGTGCCCGCTCATAATGAATAATTTTCTTTAGTTTCCTATTCAGGCTAACGTCGTACCTCTGTTCACGAACTTAAGTCTTCCCACTATTATGGTCGCAAACTGACTTGAATGAGAACGGAATCAAATTTCCCCACCAGGTCAGCATTAAACCTAGCCATTCACTGAGTTTGATTGAGTTCCTGTCGAGGTCGGTTTGCGACCAGAATAGTGGAAAGAATTAAGTTCATGAACAGAGGCGCTGGCATATACTTTTCCATCAGAAAATTCATAAACTGCTCCCTGCACACTAATCGTTAAACGCCGCCTGCAGGAAACGGCCTGGCCCGGCGCCCTTCCGGCCCGCCCCTCCGCCCCGCGCGTTCCCGGCCTCTCCCCGCTTCCCCATCCCGTCCTCATCCAGCTCGCTGGGGCTTTCAGGACTCACACGGGGTCCCCCCACCCCACTCTCCCGCAGGGAGGGCAACGACGGCCACCAGCCAGCACGATCTGGGCTTCCACTGTTGCATTCAACTTCTGCTAAGCTTCATCAAACTGAACGGAAACCTTAGTGCACCCCAGAGGTTGAGAAATCTTTGGGGTGACTGCCAAGTGCAATGTCGCGGGGCAGGAAATGTTAATGCAGGTCCCGATCTAGGGGTGGCACCCTCTTCCCCTCCATCCCATACCCGACTTACAGCAGTACCTTGAAGCACCTCCCCCCCAGCTGCCAGAAAACCATTTTCAACGCTCAAACACTGAAACTCCGCAAAACACGACAATACTTGAACCCCCCAATAAAGTGCGACGCTCTAGTCAAAGCTCTGACTCTCGCAGAAAATTGGAAAGGCTGCTTCCTTGCGCCCTCTTGTGGCTAGATTCAACAATGCAGCGAGACCCTGACCAGTCCTAAATGTTAGGGACAAGGTCCTGCCTGCCCTCAGGAGAATTTACCTTCTTACAGAGACCGATGGAAAATGCAGCCAGGCAGAGGAGTGAGCAGGATCCCTTCGGATAAGGAAAAGTAGAGATGAAAGTGGAGTGCCTGGGTGAAACGGGTCTGGATAAAGGGCATACAAATTGTGTGTTACTGTTGGTGGCCAAACTGAAAGCCCTACACAGCAAGAAGTTACTACAAGGCCAGCATCCTGGGCAGTGCAAAGGCCCTGAGGCTGGAGTGATCTCAAGGCCTCTGAACACAGAAGAGACCAGATGGCAGGTGGCAGAGGCAAAGCAAGTATCCCAGTAAGCTTGGGTGAGGGGTGGCATCGCTGGGAACACCCACTTCCTCCATCCAGGTGGAAAACAGGTTCTGTTTCACACCTGTGTTTCCCCTTCCTCCAGCAACTGCCACTCGAGACCATCCACTCTCTCATCTGTACAGCTACCAGAGCCCGAGGTACCACCTTCTGCTGCAGAGCTCCTCAGGGCAACCCCCTGTTCCTTCCAAGCCTTTCTCCCTGTGTGAGAAAGTGGCCTACTTCACAGGGCTAGGGCCCCACCCTTGCTTAGAACTCTTCAGTGGCTTTGCACTTGGAAAACCCAACTCTGACTGGTGGCTCCCCATCTTTCTGCCTCAGGTGCCTTGCACTAATAGTTCCCTACGCCCTTGCACTAAAGCCATTACTACCTCAAACTAATGGTTCCGTACACCGGAAGTTCCCCCTACTTCCTGTTTGCTTCCTCCAGGGATCAGTTGAAACCAATCCTTCCCTAAGTGTTCTCTCCAATAAAGCCTCCCACTGATTCAGTCACACTGTCATATTGATTTCATTCACGGCACCTATCATGTAACTGTCTCACTATTTGGTTTTTTTTTGGTGGCTGTTTTTTTTTTTTTTGTCTTTTTTCAGGTTGGATTTTGAAAACCACTTGGGCACAGACTATTTCCTGCTCTGCAATGGTGCACTCATCAGCTGTGTGATGTTGGACAAGTTGCCAACCTCTCTGTGTCTCCAAGATTCTTCTCCCCGGAAAGGGGGAGATGATACTGCTACCCACTTCGGGGCACTATAGGGAAGAATAAGTGAGATCACAAATGTGAAGTGTTTCTCATAATGCTCGGGACAAGCAAGCTCCACCCAATAGTAATCATTAATATTAATGGCTGTCATGATTGTTGTGACTGTCCAGGGCTCAGCGCTAGAGGAGGGGGACCCATATGCCCAGCTCAGGTTGAGCTGTGTTAGATAGAAGGTTGAGAGTTGAACTGTAGGCTAGGGCAGGACAATCAGCTCAGGAACCCCAGCGTGCAGGGAGGGGATACTCCCACGGTCTCCTTCAGGACACAAGGAGGCCAGGCTGGAGAGGTCCTGCAAGCTGCCAGAGCTCATGTGACAGCTGTCTCAGAGCTCCTGCCAGCTCCTGTGAGCCCAGGCCTGCTCCCTGTGAGGCTGCAGAGGCAGGAAAGGGAAAGCCATGTCTCTGTTAATTGTTCTTATCAATTACTACCCAGGGGGGAAAGAGATAGCAGAGGGGTGCCTCCCAGCCCCATACCTGCCCCAGAACGCTGCAGGCCATCACCTGTCACTGCTCAGAACAGGGTCCCTGCATGGCTTCCTGATGTACAGTGCGCAGTGGGGAACTGACTGGGACCGTGGTGGGGGAACTGTGCAGATCGGAGCCTGGCCCACAATGCCAAGACTGTGCTCAAACCAGGGAATGGGCGCTCATGAGAGATTTCCTGAACAAACGGACCAGCGAGCCAGTCGAGGAGGAGACAGTCCCTGCTCTCAGGAAGGAATGGAGGAGACGACAGACCCACCAAGCTCAGCCCTGAGCAGCATGCACTTCGTCAAGCATGGGGTGCAGGAGTCGGGTACAGATGGCACTGTGGGGTGGTCAGTCCTGGGGATGTGGAGACTGAGTGACCCACAGGAGAAAGAGGATCCAGGAGGCAGGGAGAAGGAAAGACACAGAGGGCGGGGGCCGCCGAGTGGGTCTAGGACTGTGGCGCGCTGAGGGGTGGGAGGAGATGGTTTGGATGGTGGTGAGGCGGGAGGTAGAACAAAGACAAATAACAGGAAGCCATGGGGCAAGAGCTGAGAGACCTTAGGAGCCAATAGATGAAGGTTACCCTGTCCCCAAGGAGTCGCAGCCATGGGCAAATCCAAAACCATGTACCCCTGGCCGACACCCAACCTCAATGTGGTCTCACAACCCCTCCCCTCCCTACCCCAAGCTCTGGATGCCATGACACTGCTGTTAAAACCCTTGTATAGTCAAACACTGCCTCCCAACGGCAGACAGACTCAGGGACCCAGGGGGCCGTTTCTCCTGTCAGTTCTTAGTCACAGGGCCTCCTGTAACCCCAGTACCTTCAGAGACCCTGGACCTGTGAGTTCTTCTCACTACCTGCTCTCACCCCCACAGAGAGTACTTTTGCTGTAGATAAATCTTACTCATGTTATTCTTTTTGAGCCTCCTGCTCAGTGCTTTGTTCCAGATACTACGAGCCTGGAAATGACTTCCCTGAGACCGCCCGTCTGATGTCAGTAGGGTTACTTATGTTCTGGACATACTCCGTGCCAGTTCGTCCTAGTCCTCCACTTGCCCAAAGCATAACTTCGGACTGTGCCATTTTCTGCAGACGTGGATAAAGTCGGGGTGGGGGGGACTACAAGGACCCGATTCTGCCCAGAAACCCATAGGTTTCTGCTATTGAGCAAGGCCTGGGACTCCTGGAGAGCTGGTCCTGTCTCCTGACCTGTGCGCTGCAGTGGACTCTGTCCTCTGCAGTTGCCCCACCTGTACCATGGAGGTCAGCCACACCTGCCCACTCCCTGGCAGCCACCACCACCGCCTCTTGCTGCTCCACCTTGTCCAAACACTGGGAGAAGCAGGCCAGAGAGACCAAGTTGGCCCACACCGGGCGCCTACCGAGCCTGGGACCCTGGGGAACGCAGGTTACTGAGGTTCCTTGAAATTCAGAGACATGGGAGAGAGCCACTGCCTGCTGACACCCGAGGGTCAGGGAATCCTCATCCCCTGCTCCTTCCACAGGTTGCTGTGGGATTCGCGTGGATTACACCGGCCCTGATTCTCCTCTGCAGTTTTAGAGGGCTTAACCAACTCAGGCCCATGCTCTCTGGAGGCATCTATTCTAGGAGAGGAGCTGAACACAAGTGAGACCCAGAGCTTCCCATAGCAGCACTGTGGCAAGTGGGAGACCCACTGCCCGCCTCTGGTCCCAGAGACCCACAGTGGCAGCCATGCTCTGGTGGCTTCAGCCTTGTTGGCTTTGGAAGTTTAGATTCCCAGAGGAGGAGGAGGAGGAGTGGTCAGATCTTGTGGCTTTTGCAAGTGCTGAGCACTGGCTTGTGCTTCTCAGGACCTCCCAAGTCAGACGAGGAAGCTGAGAACTCGACCTTTGTAGCTGGACTGGGACACAACAACTTTTGTGGATCTCGGGGATTCAAGGCCAGAACTTCAGTGGCTGATTTCATAGACACTGCCCTACGCGGACAGAGCTCCCTGGTCTCCAGTCCCCTCCACTGTTCTTTAAATTTCAGTGGGCAAGGGGGACAGCAGGAGAGAGGTCTTTGCAAACATTACCTGCATTCGTCTCACTTTGACACTCTGTCGCTCTGTCTCTCTCTTCTTCCGTCCCCCTCCTGGTCCCTCCCCTCCTTTTTTCCTTCCCCTTGCACCCTTGCACCCTTGCACAGTGCTAGAAGGCCCAGACTTTTGCGGATGACGTGCCTGACAAAGGCCCTCTGCTGGCCGGTTGAGGGTTACAGGTTCATTGACTGCCATCTAGTGTCAGGATGTGTTCATGGCACATTTCTTTTCTATTACTCTGATGGGATAATACTTTCAGAACCGGAAGCTTAAGGGTCAAAGGCTGCTGTTTGCTTCTCCTGGCTTCAGCCTCTCTTAAAAACAACAAAACAGCAACAACCCTCACTCAAATAAGTCAGGCACTGAAGCAGATACCGCAAAATCTCGCTTGTACGTGGAACCCAAAAGTGCTGCTTTCCTGGAGATTGAGAGTATGATGGGACTGGATCTTAGGGAGAGAGGCAGGCAGAGCAGGAGGGGAAGCTGGCCAGCCGGTGCTAAGCTGCAGCCGGACAGGGAAAGAGAGAGTGTGTTATCACACAGTGATGCGACTACAGATGTTAACAACCTGCTGTGTACCTCAGAAAATCTATAAGCGCTTTTATCACAAAGAAACGATAAATGTTCGAATAAATAGATCTATCCTAATTTAAGCATTGTATACTATAAATAAAATCACACAATAGCCCATAGGTAAATATATACTTGATTTGTATTAATTAAAAGTGAAATAATAAAAACCTTCAGGTGTGTAGTAGTAGCAAAATATCTGTGATGCTTTCAGTAGAGGGCTTCT